GTGTGTGTGTGTGTGTGTGTGTGTGTGTGTGTGTTCCATCTTATTCCAAGTTGGGTTGTGAGGGCAGCAGCTTGAGCAGGGCGGCCCAGACCTCTTTCCTCAGCCATCTCTTCCAGCTCTTATTGCAAGGATTTGGTGTTCCCAGGCCGAACAAAAGACATAGTCTCTCCAGTGTGTCCTGAGTCTTCCTTGGGGTTTCCTCCCAGACTGACCTGACCGAAGTACCTCCCTAGGGAGACGTCAAGGAGACATGAACCACCACAACCAGCTCCTCTTGATGTGGAGGAGCAGCGGCTCTACTCTGACTCTCTTCCAGATAACTGAACTTCTCATCTTATCTCRAAGGGAGAGTCCAGACACCCTGCAGAGAAAACTCATTTTTTGACCAACTGTAACCACAATATCTCTCTTTTGGTCACTACCCAAAGTTCATGACCATAGGTGAGGGTAGCAMAGACTGACTGGTAAACAGAAAGCTTTGCCTTACAGCTCAYCTCCCTCTTCACCACAACAGACTGGTGCAGAGTCTGCAAAACTGTAGAAGCTGGAGCAATTTATCTATCAATCTCACGCTCTATTCTTSCCTCACTCATGAACAAAACACTGACTTAATAKACCTCCTCCACTTGAGGCAGAACTTCACCCAAACCCAGAAAGAGCAATCTACCCTTTTCTGACTGAGGACCATGGACTCAGACTTTGAGGTACTGATCCTCATCCCAGCCGCTTCACGTTCAGTTGTGAACCAATCAAGTGAGAGCTGAAGTGGATGATGCAACCACATCATCTGCAAACAGGAGGGATGGAACCCTGAGGCCACTGAACCAGACTCCCTCTGCCCCCTGGCTGCACCGAGAAACTCTGTCCATGTAAGTTATGAACAGAATGGGTGCAGGCAGTCCTGGCAGAGTCCAACTCCCACCCTGAAGGGGGTCAACTCACTGCTGGTGCTCACACCGCTTGTATAGAGACTGAATGGCCCGTAACAACGGACCCACAACCCCATAATCCCATACTCACAGAGCACCCCTCACAGGCTTCTCCAGTTCCACAAATAAAAAAGTGGACTGAAGTGTGTGTTGTTGTTGCCACCAAACTTTCACAATTGTGGAATATCTTGTTATGAAATGTTGTGAAATATTATCACCTGGGTTATAGTACTCAGTTTTAAACAAAGCCTCTCCATAAACTTGACTTTTATAATTAGAAACACAAACCAGCATGTTGTTTGTTTTAATGATTATTACAAAAACAATCTGAAAAAAATGCACTTATCAAATTTTGTCTTGTCTCATTTTATTAACCTCAGCATTTTCTTATTTTTCCCTACAGAAAACCCATTCTGAATATTCAACTTGAATCAAACAAATCATCACAAAACATCGTACCAACTCCGTTGTAGGTTGTACATTTTAGTTTTCATTGTTTTGGTGCACTAAATGGATGATTTCAGCAGAACTTGGTGCAATCAATGTTAACCTTTGGATAGATGTTTTTCTGTCATCATTATGCTGACAAAATGTCTTTGTGTTTTTTAAATGGAAGAGGTTGAAGGTTGTTTGTTTGTTTTTTGTCTCAACATTAATGCAAAAAAGAAAAATTTAACTTTCTTTTAATTTGCACACAATGCTGTCTGTAAGTATGCTGGATGTCTTTAAACACATATTTCCTTACAGCAGTCTCTACAGCATGCAGCACTTTTTATTTTAAGTACTTATATTTTTATTTAATACATGTCTATGTAAGGAAACTGTTTGCTAAAATCTATTTTTTGCTGAAACAGGACTTGTGTGAAACTGCCTTTACAAAATGTGTAAATGCAGTTTAAAAATTATTATTATAAATATTGTGTTTTAAAAGCCAAAACAAAGACTTTTTTGTGTTTTTTTGCTAATTTAATGCACCCATTGATACTAATGAGTTATGAACATTATTTAACACATATCAACACACTAAGACAATATGAATGATTCCAAAACAGTAATTGTATTTTAACATTTCTGTATCTTCTGTCTTTAAAAGAAAAATTCTACACCACAAGTGTTGAAAAATCAGATTCATGTCCTGGTACAAAAAATACAGCATAGAAACAGATTCACACCAGCAGTTATTGCAGTTATTTTAGAACTTATGAATTATCTAAAATGCAAGTTAATGTAGGACAAAGTCGACAAAGTTATCCAATGAAAACCCAAAAAGTATGTAAACTGTTTAACAGYAGTTTTGACCAAAGTTCTGTGATGAACAAATGATCCATCATGCACCTCACCATCAGGACACTAACATTTCTGTCTACACCTCAAGCTAGTGAGATTTTGAGACATTTTTTTTTGTGTACAGAAATGAAACACACATTGATTTGTTTTAAAATAACAAGCCAAACTAAAGTTGATGTCCACTTGTAGTTTAGACGGAAAATTGTTCTTTGGTTTTATTATAAATGTAAGTATTATTTCACCAGCCATTCGAGAGGCWTTTTTTTCTTTTCATTTTTTTATTGTTAATACAATGAAGTAGTTTGAAGAAACTGAAAGTCAAAGGCTATAACACCACCTACAGGCAAAAGTGAAAATAAATCCTAAAAGACAGTTTTCAAAGTTTTCTAAAAGAAAGTTTTCAAAGCTTTGAGACGTTCAGACAGCTCCAAGATTGTGGGGCATCATTGTTTTAAGCTCAACAGTCTGGTAAAAAAAAAAAAAAAAAACCAGAAAAAAACACTAAAACTAAAACTGCCAGTTCAGTTAAGTCAAACCCTCTGTGGTCTGTTCATATTCTGACTGATTTATTTCACACTTTGTGTGTCTTTTATATACGGCTTCCAGAAGTCATAATACAATCGTCCTGAATGAGCCACAAGCTTTGATGTATTTTTGCGTGGGCTTTCTAAAGCTGTAAGAGGAGTGGCAAATAAAACAAAAACGAGGAATAAGGGGGGAAATTGAAATTTAATTGTCAAACAGTAATAATTATGCTCAAACCTTAATAATACCGGACAACATGCGTGAATATGATGTCTTGTTTTCAGACAGACAGCCACAGCTTTGGGGTCGATTGCAGTGCAATGGAACTAATACTTTTATGTTTAAGCCAGTAATTGATGACATCCTGTAATGACCTAGATTTTTATGACATTCTGTTCATCTGCAGACAGAATGATTGAAGTCAGAACAAGATTTGCTAACAACAGTCATTCTTAGATATCACTTGTGTTTATCTTTGTGT